TATGTATAAAACACTATACATCTACACTCCTCCTTAGCTCCTACCTACCAAGATCTGGAGAATATAAACAGTGGCTATCTCTGGGTGATAGAATTATGGATCATGTTTACTTTCTTCTTTATGGCTCTTTGTATTATCTGATGTTGAAATAGTGTTTGTGTAATGCTTTTACAATTAGAAAAAGCTAAAAAATTGTGTTTTTTAATGAGAAGAAGAAATATTCAGGAGAAAAAAAATTAAAGAATTACCAGCTAGACTCAATATTTCAGGAGCCTTGAGGTCACCTTGCTCAGCTGACTGTAAAATAATGTTATTTCCACTCAGACTTGTAGGTAATCCCATTCTTAGGGTATAAGAGAGAGAGGCAATGTATGATAGAACATTCTATGTAAGAGGAATCAATACATTTATAGTGTGCATTTTCTTTTTTTCTTTTTTTTTTTTTTTTTTTTAGACGGAGTTTCACTCTTGCTACCCAGGCTGGAGTGCAATGGCGCAATCTCGGCTCACCGCAACCTCCGCCTCCTGGGTTCAGGCAATTCTCCTGCCTCAACCTCCTGAGTAGCTGGGATTACAGGCATGTGCCACCATGCCCAGCTAATGTTTTTTGTATTTTTAGTAGAGACGGGGTTTCACCATGTTGACCAGGATGGTCTCGATCTCTTGACCTCGTGATCCACCCGCCTCAGCCTTCCAAAGTGCTGGGATTACATGTGCATTTTCTTAATATTAGGACAGGGGGGAAAATGACATCCAAGAAAAGCTATTGCTCCAAGTTTCTCTCTATACTCCTAATCTCAATTCCCTATATCTAAACCCACAGCTTTGGGATGAAATATTGAAATCATAAATTTGCACCATTTCATTTTCTTATGTTATGCTTTTGAGTTCAGTGGGAGTTCATTAAAAAAAAGTGTAACCAAAGAACAGGATATGAATGATAGTAGCTTTTGAAAGGAAATGACCAAAATGCTTATATTTAAACCTGTCAAATGTGCTTAGGTTATTTCATAAACATGGATATATAATTTTCATACATATCATACATATGGCTTATTTCAAATTTAGTGTCATGAAACCATTTTGTAGACTTTGAGTCCTGGGTTAATTTTGCTGCTCTAGCTGCCTTAGTATTAAAGACCTGCCTAGAAAGCTACAATTAAACCCTGCTTTGGTTTCTCAGAAAATTACTACACTGAATACATTTTACCAATACAGTTGTCTTCTGCCGAAAGGCAAATGGACTGAGAATTTAATTGTGCTTGATTTGAGAGGAAAACTCATTCCATATTTCATTTTCATAGCATTAATCACATGTTTTGTTATTAGAAAATTTTATGTTCTCTAACTAAATCATAAAGTGACTCCACTGCTTTTGAGAAGTATCACACTGGTATACCTAGGAATTGATATTTCTTCTTTAATCAACAAAATATGCATTGGTATTTTTTGAACATCTACTTTTGAACATCTACTTGGAAATGACTTGTTTGAATGTGCAGCGATCTCAAATGCAAATAGCTTCAGGACCAGGCATATAGCATTAATCAGGTGATCTGGTATTATACGTCAGGGAGCGATGGGGCCTTTGGTAAATAGGAACATCATGTTTGCCGTAAAGCCATAGAGATTCTTTAAGACATTGTGCAGGCCAAACAAAATGCATCTTGGTCCTAATTCCTAACCCCTAGTCACCCAGGCAAAATGTTTTAGTAGATTAAATTTCTCTCATGAATCATAACATTTTAGAGCACATACTTAGGTAATCTTGTAGATCTTTTGGCACACACTGGTACAGCAACCCAAGTCTTCATTACCTATTTTGACTGGTTGGGGCACCAGCCAAATCGATCGGCTGGTTTCATTCCCCTGATCTCTAATAATGAAACTGGTTCAGTGGTTAAACATCTTAAAGTTCTCTCAGGTAGTGTAGTAAAGAATGGAACTGGGAATTCAAATCAAAATTTCTTGTACATTCTCCCTTTCTCTACTGTTGGCAGGGTAGTGCTGTCCCTTAACTGTCCCTCTAGCACTGTGTCTTAGTCCAGCCTAGAGGCAGTCTGTGGCTGGCTCTACCCATAAACCAGTTTGGTGCAGTACACTAAGAATTGTGAATGCAAAGACCTCGGTTCTAGCCCAGGGTCTGTCACTGGCTAATCAAGTGGCTAGAGGTCAGGTAACTCAAGTGTGGAAGCACCAGATGTCAGAGGTGGTCCTTATATCTGAACCCAGGTTTCCAGGTTCCAAGCTCAAAGCTCTAGATTTTGTATCAAAGTCCAGATTTTCTTATTTTAAACAGGGTGTCATGGTTTCAATCAATTTCCCAACAGATCAATATTTTTTTTGAGATGGAGTTTTGTTTTTGTTGCCCAGGCTGGAGTGCAATGGCACTATCTCAGCTCACCACCACATCTGCCTCCGAAGTTCAAGCAATTCTCCTGCCTCGGCCTCCTGAGTAGCTGGGATTACAGGCATGCACCACCATGCCCAGCTAATTTTGCATTTTTAGTAGAGACGGGATTTCTCCATGTTGGTCAGGCTGGTCTCAAACTCCCGACCTCAGGTGATCTGCCTACTTCGACCTCCCAGAGTACTGGGATTACAGGCCTGAGCCACGGTGCCCGGCCCCAACAGATCAATTTAGCATTTCAATTTCAAGTGCCTTAAGAGAACTGACTAAACAACTCTGTTTTCTGACCATCCTCTTTTCTTCTTTATAGGTTGTATGTAGGCCAGTATGGGCCTAACTATGTTTTACTGTGCTTTCGGTGGCATGGGCTGTGAATGCCACAGTTGCCTCAACTCTTAAAGCGATTCTGCCTGCCAAGAATTGTAATAAACTGCCCTTCATTACCCAGCTTGGAAAAAACAGGCACTCTTTTGTTTTAGCATTTGTTACTTGCATTCTGTGGTTAAGCATTGTCTGTTATGCTTGCAAAAATGTATAGCTCATAGTTATTGAAGGGAGTTGTGTGTAGCTTTTTCCCTTCCTAATAAATTGTTTTTGTGAGAACCAGCTGGTGTTTGAAGAGCTAAGTTCTAGGAAAAAAAAGAAATGACAGCTATAGAGTATGGGCAAAGGTCTAAAAATATGAAAGCCCAATCTGGCCAAGAGACGCTGGCCTGTGCAGAGAAAGTGCAGTGACAGTTTCAGCAGAGCCAGAAAAACTGTCCCTTTTCTGCCTGGAAAAGGGTTCATGTGAGATGTTAGGAAGACAGTTTAAGGGGGAAAATCCTAAGTAAATAGAATTTCAGCCAATACTTTGATGAACTTCACCCTTCTTTGGAATGTTTTCACTCTCTGAGGGGAAAACAGAGATTGAGTCATTTATCCAGCGAGTCAGAACTTTACTCAAAAGAAATACTCAGGAGATGTTTTCCCTGTGGTGCTTTCTGAAGACCCAATTTATGAGCTCTGTAACATTGTCAGAGAAATGTTCATTTCCAAGGAACTTTTCTCCCTTGATTTCTTTATTATTTGGCACTGTAAATTTTCATGACTGTGGGGAGGATTCCCTGACATAGTTATCTGATGGGAAAGTCTGATCCTCTCACTTAAAACAGATTTTTCATGTCTGTTCTACCTCCCTCTCCCCTTTGTAACTCCCTAAATTTCACACGTAGCACTCTGACTTTATAAATCTTTTTCTTTGATTCTGCAAACTGATTGTTAAATGTATGATATCATTCTTGGAACCATGTGACCTCTGGGTTCCTAAATGCAGATGTGATTTTGGTCCTGTACAGCAGAAGGAGATATTGAGCTAGAAGTTAATGTATTTTTTGTTTTTGTTTTTAAACTTAGTATGTAAACAATTGGTTTTAATGGCTTTATATTTTCAAATAATTAGTCAGCTGAGGGCTAAAATTGTTTTGGTAAGTGGACATTCTCTTCTTTCAGAGGAGCCTCAGCATAAAACCATTTTAATAAATATTTTCTACACAGAAAGAGCCATTTCCTTTCGCCATAAGACACAATATTCACTTTCTAGTCTTCTCTCACTCCGCATGTTCTCCTGAGTACTCATTTCGTAAGTGCCAGTTGTGACCATGCTGTATAGTTCTCTGGTTGTGGTTGAAGCTTCTGTAGGTACGTCACTTGCCGTATGTTACTTCAAAGCCTGCACTCAGGTGTCCTTGGAGAGGAAGTTTCCCTTCCTTTAAAGGCGTCATCTTTCCATTTTGGAGAGAACAGTAGAATGCCACTTCTGAGGGTGCTGTGTCATCATACGGTCATCCTCTTAGATGGCAGAGATGCATGGGATGTGGGCAGGACTGCCTTATAGCTACTGCTAATTAGATCTAGAGCATTTGGAGGGAGTTTCCATTTGGAACTACCCTCCCTACTTTGATGCTTAGTTTTTTTTCCCAGAAGATTTAGTCTATTTTTTAAGCTAATGAGTAGAATTTTTGCTGAAAGTGTTCTATTATAATGACTATGCCAATTCAGTAAGTACCATCATTTTTTTTCTTGTCAAAAATTTTTTTTAAATATGTTTCTCAGGTGACCATTATTTTAAGCTGGATCATAATACACTGTACCTCAAATTTATGAATTTATTTTATATATAGATGCCCTGAAATTCCTAGAAGTTTTCATCAGTTGTCTTTAGTCTTGTGCTTTCCATTATTTAACAGTATTACATGCCAGATAGTTGTTCTGAAGTGCTTGAAGCTCAGACAATGTTTAGTACCAAATCTATCAAGATTCCCTAGTTTAAATGCAGCTCAAGATGGTGATTTAGCTTTTATGTAATTTGAAACATTTAAGATGATTGTGTTTTCATTATGTTTACTTTCCTACATCCTGAAATTTGCAAATATGCTATGGTATTCCTATCACAAAGAATTATCCAGCTTCCTTATTGAAGCTGGGTCTTATGCCATACTCTGTCTGAATAGTGATGAAATAAATTTACCTCTAGGCGAGTTTTTTGTTAGAGTTAATAGGTATGCTCAATATGCTTTGTTATGTTTTGCTTTTAACCCTCTCCTTTAAGGAAAGCAAAAGAAAATTTGTTTGGACAAAACAGCAATTTTTCCAATGGCCATGTAGTTGGTGAAAAAAAGCAGCAGCTGGAGTTGGATTCTGTTGTAGAAGAAACCATAACAGGAGATTATGCCTTAATCATAAATGGCCACAGTTTGGTGAGTTTGCCTAGGGTTTTTGTCCTTTCTTTTTCTTCACCGCAATCATCATTTCTTTTGTGCTATCATAATGAGACTTGTTTTGTCTTTTGCAGACAAATGTCACTACTAGAAATAGGGCATATGCGATGATTTCGTGTTTGCAAAGGGAAAGGAAACCTCTAATATATATCTCATACAATATTGTTTGGACCACCACAGTGAAGGGGAGGCTCCAGAGAAATGCTAAATTCACAGAGTATCAATCTTGTCTAAATGACTGTAGACCACTTAGCAGTATCATTTAAGCGCCTTTCTAGAGGGGAGTGTTACTATTCACTGTTACTTAATTAAAATAATGCAACTGGGTGGATGTATTATAATTATTGCTCTTACTAATGTTTGTGATTTGTGGAGAACAACCTGACCTTTATATAATTACTGCACCAAATTATTGCCATTAATATACCTCTAGTGGTTTTTCTAAATAGCAGCATTTTACAGCAATGCCAAACAATTTGCTTTGATTAGGAAATCTGGCTCTTGTAATAGAATGAACTTGCATTGTACTTTTAATGTAGTTCAGATTCAAAATCTTGAACAAACATGAAAATACTCTTCTGAATTTCTAATTTAAAATACAAAAGCTCTAATTACACTCCAGTGGAATTATAATTTATATGCACAAAGAACTAATCTCACATCTTTTTCTGGCTTTGATGATGATTTTTCAATTTTGAGTTTGGAAAATAAATGTATCTTGTTGTAGACAGTTTCTTAGAGGACAAAAAAAGTTGGATATGAGGATACTGTGTTTTCTCCCTTGTGATCAGCTGTCTGTTAGCTCTTAGTGCTTAGGGCATTATCCAGCTGGATACCAGACATGTGTTGCCTTCTACACCATGGAAAGTTACAGAGCTCAGTTGCAGGCCAAACTCAGTTGAAAGTTTGTCCAGATGACACAAACTTCTTCTTGCACAGATGAACAGTTACTGAAAATTATGACTGTCAGCTGGGTCTTAGAGCTGGTGGTCCCCATGCTGAATTTTCCAGGAACCACAGTATGAAAAGGGGACCTTATGAGTTACACTTTGACTTTTTCTCAGGCTCAAAGAATCCAATGTGTGGTGGCATTAGAGTACTCAAATGATAATTTATACCTCTCTCTCTTTGTCTCTAAGTGCGTTGAAAGAAGGAAGTAAGACAGATGCTCTCCAAGAACCCTGTCAGCTTCAAAGTCTGAAACTGATGGAACCATGAAATTTCATTTTTAATTTAAGGAGAATTGACCATGTTTTTGCTAGGACAGTCAGAAAGTTGTTCCCCTCCCCCACCCCTACCATCGTGATTCTAATCTGCTCCAATCCTGATGCTTTGCAGAATGTAATTGGGCTTTTTTTTTCTCTCTGAGTCTTAGCATAGTTTTTGACTTGCTGATAATAAAAAGAAATGAAAAGAGAGAAAAAGAGGCCATTCTAGGGAAGACATGCAGTTACCTGTTTCCTCTTTGAGAAAGAGTGATAATATTTGAAAATGTCAACTCACAATTTCACCTAGGAATTATAGGTTTGAACGTACGAGTTTTCTGTACTGAGTTATGTTTTTATATTCATTTACCCATCCAGACATTCCTCCATTAGCATTTTTATTACACATGCCCAGGTCATAGTTCTAAAGTCTGAGGATAAGGTTATGAATACAACATGGTCCTTGTTTTAGGGATTGCTGTCTAGTGGGTAAGATAATCACACAGTGGTATTACAAATACAAAGAGGAATGAACACAATGCTTTAAGAGCACAGAGGGAGACAAATTTACTTTCCTGTGGGAGAATCAGGGAAAATTTCCTGAGACAGCGATATTTTCAAGTAGAGATAACGGCAAGTACAAAGGCACAGAGGCAAGAAAGAACCTATTCAATCATGAGAAACAAGCAATTTGGCATGATGGGAAAAAGTGTAGACTTAAAAGTGGTGGTAAAAGATAAAACTCAAAAGGAATGCAGGGGCCAGATTGTGATGGGCCGTGAATGTCTTGCTAAAGATTAATCAAAGATATTGATGACTCAAAGTTTAAGTGGATTTCTGTTTCCTCTTAATGTGTTTATTAAAGAATTTAACAGTAAAACATTTTCTAGGAAAAAAAATTTCACAGTTAATTGGAAGGGATTGTGCTATCCTTTTTAGTAATTTCTTGGCATATCTAAAGGATCTCATGCATTTGGATAGGAGCAAGAGTGGAACTGGTTGAGGAACCCTCTCTGTGGCAAGGCTTGCATGCCCCCCTTTTCCCAGGCCTCTCTAGGTTTTAGTCACTATGTTCTTCAAGGGACAATCCCCAGCTCATCTGCTTTTCATCTTGCCTGCACATTAACAATCACAACAACAAACTAAATATGTAAAACAACAATGCAAAGAAACAAAAAGCCCATCACATAGAATAAACAAATCATCATCATTTGTAGTTCACACTAAATTTGGTGAGCTGGTAGATAGGTTCTGTCTTTTGTTTTCATCAATTTCAGTGGTTTCTAGAACTTCTCCAGCATTTAACTCTCTCTGTCTCCAGTGCAGCATGATATCAAGGGGGACGTATAAAAGACAGTTCCTTTTATTTTTTAACATTCCTTAGTAGTATTTTAAAATTCACTTAGTAGGGTTCAATACTCATTTCTTTAGTTTTTGTAATTTGTGTGATCCTGAATCAACAATGACTTTTTGAAGTGAATGAAACGGTTTAGCAAACAAATTAATTGAGAAACAAGACATTTATCTTGTTTCCTCTTAATGTCTTGTTTCTCAACTCTCATTTATTGTTTCCTGTTCTTTTTTGACTTTTTTTAAATCACACAGGCTCATGCCCTAGAAAGTGATGTCAAGAATGATCTCCTAGAACTTGCTTGCATGTGTAAGACTGTGGTTTGCTGCAGAGTCACTCCGCTCCAGAAAGCCCAAGTGGTGGAGCTGGTGAAGAAGTACAGAAATGCTGTTACTTTGGCCATTGGTGATGGAGCCAATGATGTCAGCATGATTAAAAGTAAGAGGATACGGTTTCAGTATTTGGCAATATATAATCACTAGATTGCATTAAAATTCAATTTTGCCAGTGATTCTAAAATGAATACTTCCGAGTCCAATGCTACCACCATTATTAGCATTTATAATAAAATTTCTTTGTCTTTAAATAAACCATTTGTGTATTTTTAGGCTAGAGAAGGAAATCATTCACCTTATACTATTTGAGGAAGTAAATAGCTACAGTGTAGAGGAAAGAACACCAGACTCACATTTGTAACATGTGACTTTAACCCCATCTTTGCCACTTCCAAATTGTAATACCTGGTGTATGTCACTGAACTTTTCTGAGCCTGACTTCCTCTTTTGTAAAACTAGGATAAATATCTAACTATCACGAGTGTTTCATGAGATAATGTATGTGAAGAATTACAATTGCAACGGCTGTATGTTTTCCATAAATAAAAGAGGAATGACAAGTTTCTGAAAGAGATAGTGGCTTTGTTTTGGGAGTGACAGTGTTGCTCTTTCTTTTGTAGGTGCTCACATTGGTGTTGGCATCAGTGGCCAGGAAGGACTACAAGCAGTCTTGGCCAGCGACTACTCATTTGCACAGTTTAGATATCTCCAGCGGCTTCTCCTTGTTCATGGAAGGTGGTCTTATTTCCGAATGTGCAAATTCTTATGCTATTTCTTCTATAAGAATTTTGCATTTACACTTGTGCATTTCTGGTTTGGTTTCTTCTGTGGTTTCTCAGCCCAGGTTGGTAAAAAGCATGTTTCTTTTTTTTTTTTTTTCCTTTCTGTGATCCTCTGGATTACAAATGACTCTTCTTCATAGCTCTTTACTAATAAATTGAGAGCATTTTTTAATGGCGGATTCAAGTGACAGTATTACCATTAGTAATTGATAGTTGACTTGAGCTTTGAACCCAAGAAGAATATATATCCAGCTAGAATATTATTTATTTTCTTATTTAGATAGTCAACCAGTGAGTACTCCTTCCATGCATATGTTAGTTTTTGTTGAAATATTTTTGGTATGATGACAGGTAAGTTTGTTGTAGAGTTTTAATTTAGAACAGAAATCTGTAAATCACTAATAAGAAATGTTGAGGTATCTTTAGTAGGGAGATGGTTTCTTATCCAATACATGAATGCATCTGGACTGAGGGTAAATGTATTTTATATCAGGGAGAAGTAATTGGTACTCTGACTTCAAAGCTGTTTAGACAGCAGTTCACCAGCTAAAAGTTGATACATAGATAATACTGTAGCAAGAAAGAAAAATTAGCAAATTTATAAATTAGGATTTTATTTTTATATCACTTTATATCCATTTTAAAGGACATTTATTTAACCCCACATCTTCGATATCAGAAAAGTTTTGAGCCAATCAATCAACTGTGAAATGTAATGTCTATATCATTTACATATACTTGTAAATAAAAAAAATTTTTACCAAAAACTTAAATGTAGATATGACATTGAGATTTTGAACAACAACAATATAAGAAAAAGATTGTCCTTGAGAATGAAATGGTAACCATAACTCTCAGATTTATTCAATTGTTCTTCCCTTCTTTGGGTTTAATCAATGATATGCATGAAGGTAATTTTTTAAAAATAATTTTATTCCAAAAAGACTGAGTATAAATGAAATCTTGGCATCTTCTGTTCTCTTAAATGTGCCAAGGGAGATTAGTGAATCCTTTCTACAGTGAAAATACATTTTCAACATTTTCCCCTTTTTCTGGAAGTTGAGATTTCTTAAAGTGAGGCACACCTGTTCACATTCCTAATTTTCTCTTTTTAGGATAACATGTCCCAAGCTGAGAGTAGATTATGTTGATATTTTTGCCTTTTTTGTTGTTAATCTCTTGACAGTTGAAGTACAGCAGAGTCTTTATTTTAGCTACTCAGAAATAGAAGTTATCTTAGTGCTACTTCAGAGTAGTCATGGGGCTGGGGATGTTTACATACTCATAATTCCTCCTTTGTCCAACAAAGACAAGCATGGGAATGTGGCCTGTGCCTTCCTAGTCTGTTGATTTTCCTTCCAGGGAAGAACAAAGCAAGACCATCTGCTAAGGGGTATTTCTAAGAGATTTAATTTTCATATTCCAAAGGCTTAAGGCTGAATAATCTCAAGACTATGAAGGGACAAACCCTCATTTAAATATCTTAGAACGCAGAAGAGTAGTCAATGATTTGCGTTTGCAGACACACTAAGCTTGAATAGTCAACTGTTCTGCTAGGTTATCTGTTAAAACTGTGAAGTTGAAACTAATGTTCAATGACTTCTAACTTCTACATTTAGGTTATTTTCTGGGATCTGATAAAAGTGGTCAGAGCCAGATGAAGCAACTAGAATTTTTATTCTTTCACCAGTATTTACATTTTAAAAGAGAACAGCAAGTGAGAACAATAATTGCTCCAAAGACATGAGTAGCTGATGGTTAAACCCAGCTGTAAGGCACACCACCTGTCTGTGATTAGGTTTCTGAAATGTTTGATTTAACTTAGGATGTTTCTTTTCTGTGTCCCTTTCTTTCCCTTTTGTGTTTTACATTGTCCGCTGGGCTCTAGCCTTTAGAACTGTACTTTGAGAACCACTGAGCTAGAAAACGTTAGGAGAATATCCCAAGTTATGCTTCCTTGAACCCAGACGAAAGTCCCATCTGCTGACTTCTTGTTTTGTTAACAACATTGGACCCTATTCATCTTTTCTAAAGCAGAGGAGCCAGTTAAGCAAACAGCTGATCTCCCCCAGTTGACTGTTTCCAGAGGACTTAAAATCCTTTCGGCCCTCTTGCCAGGCCTCTGTCCCTGAAGCATATTATACCTGCACAAAGACAGTGTCAGGTGGAAACGGGATGTCTGTTCAGGGTACAGGATTTCTTTCCCTAGTTTAGCCAGTCTGTTATCATCTCATCTAGCTTAACCATGAGCTTCTTGGGGAAAAGAAGTACATCTAACTCATCAACATGTCTCTAATAAAATCTTGAATGTTACCTGCCATATAAAAGGCCTTCTAGTCATTTCATGTGGTGTGGTGTTTCTATAGCCCTTTCCCATGCTTGAGACAGGTGCAGCAAAGAGAGCCATTCCAGTGTGCCCACAGTCATTCACACAGTTGCCACTTTAGCCACCCCAGGGGCCATCTCTGTAGGCTCTGGATCTGGTCTGTGTAAATGTGTGTGGCCTGACTATCATCGTGACAAAGGGGCTCAGGGTCTTAAGATCTCAGTGTGGTTATGCAACTGATTTCAGAATGTAGAATGCTGTTTTTCTCAGTTGTGTTAATATAATACAATAGTTAACTGGGCTACAGGTGATACGTCTCTTATTTATACACCCTTTCATTCTAGGAAAGACACAGAGTAGATTTTCCAGGTCTTTTGGCTGGTTCTTGGCTGATTTAAATAGGGCAGGATACATTTTTTTTAGGCATAGCAGCAATCACCATATAAAAATAATTGGGCCTCTGAGCAGGTGTCCCGGGCCACTATATACTTTGTCCCAATTTCTGTGATGACCTCATCAAATTGGGATCCAAGCTTATATTGGAAAGTGTCCTTTGGTCCCACTAAGGATTTCATTCATTTAATAATATTCACTAAGACTTTGCTATGTGTCAGGCCATGGTGCCTCCTGGACCTTATGTCCTGAGTATGGGAATGAATATCTAAGAAGTGTGCTCTTTGTGGGCATGGCAAAGTGTGATCTCACAACTTGTATTAACTATTCATCTTGTGGAAGGTTTAAAGTTTTATTTCCAGACTTGTCAGAGAAGTAGATAGGCTTTCCAGGAGGATAATGAGTAGTAGTTGCTTATTACCTGTTGGAGAGTAGAGGACAGCAAATCAGTAACAGGACCCATGTAGTGACATCATTGCAGCGAGGTCAGCTTCTTTGTAGAATCATGATATTGCTGACACTAACAAGTAGGGATAAAAACAAGTTATAGCTAACATTTAAATAGTGATTACTATGTTTTGGGCTTTGTCTAACAATGTTTTACCTGCATTAGCTCAATAGTTACAATAACCGTATGAAGTAGGTTTTACAATCATGGTCTATATTAGCTTAATTATGGTAAAAAAAAAAAACACACATAACAGAAAATGTACCGAGTTAACTATTTTTAAGCGTAGAGTTCAGTAGTGCTAAGTATATATATATATATATTGTTGTGTAACAGATCTCTAAAACTTTTTCATTCTGTGCAACTGAAACTTTATATCCCCTGAATAAGAACTCTTCATTTCCCTGAGTCCCTGGCAACCACCATTCTACTTGCTTTTTCTATGAGTTTTACTACTTTAGATACCTCATATAAGTGGAATCATACAGTATTTGTCTTTTTGTGACACACTTATTTCACTTAGCATAATGTCCTCAAGATTCATCCATGTTGTAGCATGTGACAGCATTTCCCTTCTTTTTAACGCTGAATTGCATTACATTGTATGTATACACTACATTTTGTTTATCCAGGTATCCATCTGTGGACATTTGGGTTGTTTCCACCTCTTTGTCTATATTAGCTCTTTATTTGATATTTTCTAAATAATAATATTTGCGAGTTCTACTGTCCAGTAAATTCCATTTCCTCTCACTCTCACCTTCCCATCTTCTCCCTTCAGGCTTAAAAATTTGCAATTCACATTAGTCTATTAAAGGCTCTGACAAGTCCAACTGCAAAGGAACACTGCTATATTTGACTCCAAGATGCATATATATGTATTTTCACATCTGAAATCTCTAAAACTTGGATATGTCTTTACAATCAAAAGTATATTACAATACCCCTTGATCTGTATTGAAGTCCCTTTTTACCAGAGAGCATTTGTGTGACTTGTGCCAGTTCCCTGTGGGTGCTGCTGCCAGCCTAAGATCTTTCTCTTTCCAAAGATTTTTTGAGTTCAAACTGCAAATTCTGGTGAATACCAGCTCATGTTTTCAAGAGAGATTTTGTCTCTCCCTTTAGTTAGTGGATAATTGACATAGGCTAGTTTCCTTGCAGTCCCTTTCTGCATGAAGATTTCTCTTTTACACTGAGGGTGTAGGTCTTTGTTAACCTAGCTTTATGGGAATGTTAGATTCCCTATTTGGTCACATTGTGGAATTGATAATGGTATTTCTTACAATTAATTCTGTTTTAGAGTCAATGAGATTTAGTATTATTAGCCAAACTCATTTGGCATGGAACCTGCTTTTTCTAAGCAACACACATAATGTCCTGTAGAACAGGTGCCACATGGACCTCACCTTGGAAATTCTGGAATAGATGCTTCTATAGCAACACTTTCAAAACTTGACATTGCCTTTCTATTTATCCCATTTCTGGTGTTTTGAAAACAATAAGATGTACAAAGAACAAAATGATGCCAAGAATGTTGTCCCCATAGAAACAGCCTATTTATGTTTCTCCTTTTACAAAAACTTCCATTTTAATAATTAATTCTAGTCCAAGGGACAAAATAGCCCAGTTTTATATACCGAAGTAAGGATTTACATTTAAACTTATGCAAAGTCTTTTCAATTATCCTTAATGTTTCTTTTTCAGATTATCAAAATATTTATATATGAATATATCTCAATTTTATACTACTAAAATCATATTCTTTTATAGCTTTCTTATTAAAAACACAACTTGTCACACTTTGAGAAACTTCTCTTGATTTACATTCTTCAAACATATTGTTTTCTTAATGACATTCTGAAACACAGATTTATTATAAATTATTTAACTATTCT